GCCTGCCTTCTTCGGCCTTCTTCCTTTCTTGCCTGCTTCTCTGGATTAGGCTAGAGCCAAGGTTTGGCTTGGAAAGCCGCCTTCCCAGGGGAGCAGGCAGTACACTAACTTGCATCTGGGTGGCCACAGAATTGGTTGTTAAATCTGCTGGGTTTCCAGTGGGGTGGAGGGAGGCAATGGGAGAGAATGTCATCATACAATCAAACCCTCAGGGAGTTTCCTTTCCTAAACAGTACCCCCTGCTCTCATCCTCAAGAAACCAATGTGTTAATATTTGCTACATGATTTTTTACAGAAAAACTGGTTTCTTAAAAACTTTTAACTTATATCTACTCCATTTTTCCTCAAATAGAAATGTACAGAGGTAAATAGTTTTGTTATTCAGAATAAATTCCTAATCCCAAATTCAGGGTTATAATTGAATGTGAGAAAAATTCAAGGTTGATCTTGAATTAACTTTATTTTGTGTAATGCTAAGGTCATCTTTTAAAGTCATACTTTAAAAATACTTAAAAATATAATTGGATATACTCTTTTTCATAGGAATTTAAGGTATGTAAACTCAATAAATTTTTTGAGTAGCCTTCTATTGTGATTAAAGTCAGCCCAACTTTACAGAAAGGAAATTAAAGCCAGAATTATTCATACTCAATCCTAGTAAGCAAATTAGTGAAAACTGAGAAATCACCAGATCCTGAAATTCCCTGCTCCCATTATATAGTTATGTTGTCCTGAAATGCTTTTTCATACTTCAAGAAAAATGTCTCTTCCTCCCAAGAGTAAAAACAATTAGTAAACAAAAACATGGAAAAAAATGTTCTTTCCTGATAGTAATAAAGGGAATGCAAGTGAAAGCAACTTTAAAATAGCATTTTATATTGACTGAAACAGCATCACGCAACAGTTGTCAGTGTTGAAATAAAACTATGTACTCATTCTTGATGGTACTATAAGTTAATATAACCGTTTTGTAAAGAAATGTGGCAATAAAGAACATAAGTATAATCTAGACATACATATAATCAAGTCTTTTGTTTTCAAGTCTTGAAATTTTTCTTGAACTTTGAGGAATTTGTCCCAAGAAAATAATTCATAAGAAATAAAAAGAATATACACATATATGAATTCATTCATTATCTCTTTATTCACAGTAAGAAGACATTGGTATCAAATAAATAATCAATATTAGGGGTATAGATAAAATTTTGGTTGATCGTCTTTGGAAACTAGGTATTATATTCCTTCATCAACTTTAATTAAAAATGAGCATCTATTTCATGATAGAAATGTGTAGTGCAGAGACTACAGATACAATCTAGCAGCTGATGGTGGTAAGAAATCATTGATTGTATAATATGATGTCAAACATAAAATTTAATTACTAAAATTTTAATATAAGCATAGTTTCAATTGTCAGTGATCCTATTATGACCTACACCTGAGAATAATCTAATAGTGATGAGGGAAAGTTTTTCTTTTATAGCCCATAAATTAGAAATAAATAATAGAATTAGAATATCACTGTAGGCCCTGGCTGAGAAAGTTCATTGGGTTAGAGCATCATCCTCATACGCTGTGGTTGTGGGTTTGATCCCCAGTCAGGGCACATACAAGAAGCAACAGATGAATACATAAATAAGTAGAACAACAAACATCTCTCTCTCTCTCAAACCAATAATAAATAAAAATCACTGTATGGGCATTGCTTAAGAATGGCTGCTTGCATTCCAGGAAGATAACCAGACATTTGCCTTCTGATGGAAGTATGTAAACACCTAGAAATTACTTTTGTTCTCTAGAAAAGAAAAGTCTAAAAAAATCAGGTTTCAGATTTTAGTTTATAGAAAATACATAGGCTAGAAAAGTATGTATAATGAGTCCACAGATATTCGATCAGCAAAATCTATACAGTGGGGCCTTTGCAAGACTAAGACCTTTCGTGTCAACAAGAAAAAGAGAGATCTTTGGTGGGTAACTTACAGATTAAAGAAAAAAGCCCTCAAGATATATGTCAACCAATAATAGTATATAGACCTTATTCATATCTAGATTTGAACAAACTACTTTTAGAAAGGTTTTATAATTAAAATAAGGAAAATATGAGCACTGGGTATTAATAGTATTAAGGAATTTTTCCTGATTTTTTTTGGAAGGGGAAGTGACAGTACTGTGTCTATTAAAAAGGGAAGTCCTGCCCTGGCTGGTGTGGCTCAGTGGATTGAGTGCCAGCCCGTGAACCAAAAGGTCACTGGTTCCATTCTGAGTCAGGGCACATGCCTGGGTTGCGGGCCAGGTCCCCAGTAGGGGGTGCGCAAGAGGCAACCACACATTGATGTTTCTCTCTCTCTCTCTTTCTCCCTCCTTCCCCTCTGTCTAAAAATAAGTAAATAAAATCTTTAAAAGAAAAAGGGAAGCCTTTTTAAATAAAAGTGATGCATGTTGAGATATATATGGAAGAAATGATATGACATCTTGGATTTGCTTCAAAATAACCTGGAGTTTCTTCAAACAGAACTCACATCAATTTTGTTAAGCGACTGAAGTCTGTAGAATGCTGCATATGTGCTCCAGACCTTTCCATTTATAAATTTATTTATTCCTTTGAAGGACCTTATCTTTTTTCACCAGAGCCTATTTAGAGTTTATTTCTGCTTCCGTGGAATTTGTCTAGCTTTTCCTACTACTTCAATAGCACATGAACTGTTCTCCACTTATGTTTCTTTAAAAAACCACGAGCACAGATTCTGCTGTTAAAATGTATTTCTGCCCCTGGCATTCTCATCATAAAAGGAAAGTCATAGAATCTGAGGCCAATGAAACCCATAAATAGTTATCAGATGCACATGATGGATTAAGCATGGGTTGTGACTGAGAGAGGTTAAAAATAAATTCTCTGCCTTGAGGAACTGATCATTCATTTAGGGGAGAAAATCACGTGGAAATATCTGTAACAATAGTTAACATTTATTGACCTCTTACTATGTGCCCAGTACCGAGACTAGTGCTTTTTACATGCATTTAATTTTAATTCTCATAATGCCTTCAAAGTAGGTATTATTATTATTATTATTATTCCTAAAATACAAATGAGGATTCTGAAGTGTGCAAACTTGAGATAATTTGCTTAGTGTCACACAGTTAGGATCAGTGTAGAAGGGCCAGGAGCCCAGGTCTTTGTGAAGCAAAGACCCATGCTATGCACAATTGTACAAAATTAACAGGAGTCTATTTAGTTGAGATTTACCTGAACCTTCACTATGCGGACCAACATACAGTGAATGGGGCTTCTATAAACCCTGCCACATGAATGTTAATTTTACATGTTCTAGAGTAAGTGGAAGCAGTCTGGCTTCCTCACCCAGGTGTCTGGGTAGCTTAGAGAAGCAGTGTTCCCACAGCCTTGGAGGGGCCTGACAACTAGTGTTCTCATGGCCTTGAGACTGGGTCTGATAAACTCTTCCCAAAACATGAAGTGAGCTCGCATGCGCAGAATTATCCCATCCATGAATAAAGGCATGTCAGACATCTCAATGGCTCTATTAATATTTTTCCATCTGCATGAATACCAGAACCTGCCTGGCCTGGCAGGGTGGCAACACACGTGTCAACCTGACCGGGCCACAGGATGACCAACTATTTGGTCAAATGTTACTCTGGGAGTTTCTGTGAGAGTGTTTTTTGGGTGAGATTAACATTTTAATCAGAAAGCAGATTGAGCTCTATAATGTGGGTGGGCCTCACCCAATCAGTTGAAGACTTGAATAGAGCAAAAAGACTGACCCTCTCCCACATAAGAAGGAATTCTCCAGCAGACTGCCTTTGGACTTCATGTGCATAGTCAGGTCTCCTGGGTCTCCACCTGCTGGCCCACATTGCAGATTTAGACTGCCAGTTTCTATAATCACATGAGCCTATTCCTTATATTAAACCCCTCTCTCTAACATACCTCATATGTATACATAATATATACATATATAGAGAACATACGTATGTGTATATATTGTGTGCATGTGTGTGTACATATATATATATATATATACACACACCATATTTTGCCATATATAATGCATTCTTTTTGCCCAAATTTGTTAGGGAAAAATAAGGATGCACATTGTATATGGTTACAATGACTACATACTGTGAATATAATAATGGATATAATAATCCTGTGTATAATGTGCATTTGACTAATACAAACACATTTTAGAAACCCAAATAGAAAGAAGCAGTGTTTAAATTACTACCAAATTTTGCAACAGATGTAGTAATTTCACATGAAAGTAACCTTTTCTTCCAATGAATCATATTCCTGAAAAAATGTTCTAAAAATCATGAAAAGATGTCCTAACTGCTTTATTTAATTCCACCTTAGAGAAAAGACTAAAAGAAACTAATTATAGTTTTAACACCAGTATTTTTTTCCAAATCATTCCATTGGTAGAAATGTTGACCTTATAATGACATTTTATGAAATAAAATTATTAATTAATTCAATATATATTGGCAGGCCCAAGCCTGCTGAAAATCCACAGATAAAATAGCATTTTATTTATATGCTATTATATACCCCAGTATATATAATTTTATAACTTATAATCTTATCTGGGAGCCAGGTCAGCCAAAACCCTTACGAAATAATGATGACACATGCTGTATTGGAGGCATGTCCCCAACTGCCATTGCCCCCAACAGCAATGGGTGCAAAGAAGAGGTATGGAAGTCTACGGAAGAGTCAGGAAGACATCCCAGAATAATCGTTTTAATAAGAAACAAATGTAGTTTGGTAGTTCTTCACATATAGGTCTGATTTTGCTTTCAGGCCTTCACTTTAGGCAGGCCTCACATCATATCGACACAGAAGAAATCCTGATGATACTTTTTTCTTCCTGATTGGCCTTCTCTACTTAGCTCTACAGTTCATAAAATGTCTACCTTAATACTAACAAGGAATTCACGTTTCCCAAGTCAAAGTCCCTGTTTCCTCTTTCTGTCTTTTGGAGTCCTGGAAGGCGGGTTTCCAAGCAGCATGATGCTGAATGAGATCACGCACACCCAAATGGAGTTGATCCTTCCTTCTCTGGTCAGCTCCAGATCAACAGTGGCTGTCTCCGACTCCAGCAGCAGACCTGCAGAAAGAATGATTCATATCCACCTTGGTTTTCCACACTCAAAGGCAAGTAAGGATTTTGAAACTGTTTAAAATAATTAACAATAAGCTCTCCTACTTTTCTCTCTTTTCTGGATTAGTTTTCCTCGTGAGCCAGCCCTGGGAACTCATACTTAAGAGCATGATATTCTCTGACATGAATGAAACTAATGTTGCCTTACAAGCAGCCCCTTTAAGTCTATTTGCTCAATCAAAACCAAGCTTAATCATGCTGTGGTTTGGACAAATCTCTCAGGTCAGACTCTTTGCCAACTTGTGTTTTCTAGTAGTTTTCTTGATCTAATTAGAATCTTTGTATTAGAACACTTTTTCATATCTACTAACAAGGAATTAGGAAATGGTTAAATTTTAGGCATACTTCCATGATTTAAAACTGGTCTAATTATATATATATGTATTTCAAATCAAGAAAGGTTCGGTTAGGTATATAACATTAGAGTAGAAGGGTTACTGTCCCTTGCTTTCTCTCCTTCCCTCAGGGAATGGCGTTTTGAACGGCAACACTAAGAAAGGAGAAAACCTTTTGAGCTGAGAGATACTTGCAACTTACTGGCCAGGGAGACACTAACTGGGATGTACATGTGGCTGGTATTTTGCTCATTGGAAAGGCATAACAACCTTCTTTACAATATCTTGAGGATGGATGCATGGCATGCGGCCAACTTCAGTTTGTTTCATGCAGGTGTCAGTGGCTAAAAGGTATCTGGTTTGAAGGGTTAAAGCAGTCAGCACTAGTTTTGGATGTTCTGGGGTCTGAGATTGTAAAGCAGACAGATATGTTTGTGATGAGGTGAGGCACCCATGGGCCAGCCTGGGCAATGGAGCCAGCAGCAGCCCCAGCCAGCTTGCTGGGGTTCAGAGCTGGGTACCAATTTGCAACCAGGCACCAAAGACCAGCTGTGAACCCTGGTTAGTTTTAGTGAGCCTAGATAGGAATACTAGCTCCCTGGTGACCATGTGGCATCTGAGATTCACTTTCCATCATGGGGAACTCATGGGAAGGGCAGGTAGGAAATAAGCTGGGACAGGGGAAGGGTGAAGATTTCAGCCAATTGTGACGAGTTCACAACTGGAATCCAGTCCTATTGGGAGTGGCCTGAGAATGAAGAACTGGAGACTCAGAAGGGAGAACAAGGAGGCAGGCTGAGGACACAGGACACAGGAGAGATTACTATTAATACTTCCCAAAGTCCCATGTAACATCTCTGTCTCCATCTCATTTCCCAGAATTTAGGCAACATTGCCACAACTCGCTGCAAAAGGCTGGGAAACATAGTCTTTTATTCCAAGTGAAAGTGCTCCAGATAAAATCTGGGATTCTATTAAGGAAGAAGAGAATTGATAAAGGGAGGCAATTACCACTTTCTACCACAATCCTCACACCCTCTATAAAAGAGCATTGGCTTTTTCTTTTTTAATCCTGTCCCTGCCATTTGCCAGTAGAATGACCAAGAGCAAGTTAATGAATTTATCTGAATCTCAGTTCTAGCATCTACAAAATGGTCACATCATTACCTAGTCCACAGGTTTGTGAAAAATGAAATACAGTTGACACATGTAGATGGTACTAAATACACATTGGTTCCCGTTGTCATAAAGCTGGTTCTGCTTTTCTTTTGACCATTTTCCTGGTATTATTTTGATTCCTTGACTAAGATTACCCCGTGCGATTCATCTTTGCCAGATCTTATCCATGAAGATAAGGAAGGGGACTCATCCAATGCAATTCTGCTCAGGTCCTATACCTTTAAGGAAAGAAGTTGGTAGTGTAATAAAACACATATGAATTATTGGCATTTAAGAATTATAGTTTTTATGAAAATGTTTGAAGAAATTTACCAATTTGGGTCATGAGTGGTGCCTTAAAAACAGTTAAGTGTGTCATACTGAAGACAAAACTAAGGTCAGAGTGTATTAAAAATAGTTCTATTTTTTGAGTCTGCCCTAAGTGAAGCCCACAGCTTATGGAACCTTAACACTGCAATACCTGCTGCCTTACAGTAGTAAGACATGGCAGCACATTCTTGTCATATGACTGTCACCTGCTAGATGTCATTATAATCATGGACTCATACCTTTGGCTCCAGCTCTTGTTTGCTAAGGCAGTGTTGAACTTAGATTAGATATGAATGCTGCTAAACTCAGTGGTTGAAAAGGTCCCTTCAAAAGTGCAGTACTTGGTTGTCTGCCTTTTGACTTTCTTTTTGCATTTTCTTTCTTAATTTGGTAGCTGTAGAAATAATTAGGAGAGGTAAAGTTCGCCCAGATCCACTCCTTTATTGCATGGAAGGTGACAGTTGCCCTAGTGCTATGTCAATGACAATTTGACAGAAAAGGTGGAAGGTTGAACCTTGAACAGTAGCTGTTCTAGCTTCTGAAGGAATATTGGAGAAAGAGAGAGGGTGAAGAGGTTACACCTTTGTACTCTTATCTCTGCTCTCCCATTAAATGCACTTCCCAACCCCTGAGCCCCTTCACTTTTCCCTCTACAGGTCATTGATGCCCATCCCTGCTGGATCTTCCCTTCCACTTAGACTCATGCATCCTCACCTCCTTCTGTTGATCTGACTCTGGTCCTCCCTTAAGGTGAACAGCGAATGTGAGCTTTGGAAATACAAAGATTCCTATGAGCTAGTGCACCTGATCCTCAATTTTCTGCTCTGTAAAGTGGTAATAAAACCTGCTTCATAGAGTTATTTTGAGGATTAAAAAAAGATGTATATGAACACATTTCTAGGCATACAGTGGGCATTCTATAAATACTGGTTTATTACTCTTTCTTCTCTGACCATTTCCATATTCCTTTTGCCTTTAAAACTTTGCTATCCAAAATGTGGTCCAAGGACCAGAAACATTGGAAATGTCAAATCTCAGGCTCTCCTCCTGGACTGACGGAATCAGAATCTACATTTAAATGACACCCTCAGATGTTTCATGTATATGCTAAAATTTGAGAAGCACTGCTTTAAAACAAATTTTAGATTCTTTCTCTTTCTATCCTTTTTCCAAAAGGGAAAGAATAATGGACACCACTGATTGCCTACTTTGTACCAGGTGCTTTTTTTTTTTTTACTTTGAATAACTTTTTCCTTTTCAATTACAGTTGGCCTACATAATTACATTCATTTCAGTTGCACAACCCAGTGATTAGACATTATATGGCTTAGTAAGTGATGACCCTGATAAATTGTGCACCCCTCTTGCACCACACACAGTTATTACAACGTGGTGGATTATACTGTGCTTTCTATCGCTGTGACTATTCTGTAACTACCAACGCTGGTCTTTGACTGCCACTCCCTCATCCTCACTCTGTGAGGTTGGCCCTGTCATCTTCCCTCACCTGGGAAGAAACAGAGACAAGGGAATTTAACTGCCCAGCCCGAGAACAAGTAGGAATGACACAGGTGAGACTTACATGGAAGTCTTTTTCCCTGAACACTTTTCACTCCTTCAACACTGCATGGACTGACAGCCTTTTATATCTGGAGAAGAGAACAAAAGCAAAAAAAAATGTATATAGGAAATGAAAACAAAACCAAACAAATGAGAGACATGAAAACATTAAAGGTAACCTTGAGTTTCAAGGAAATCAGTAGAGAACAACCTCCTTGATGACCGATTCCAGCTGTCCTCAATTCTTGTCCAGGTTCCTTGCCCTTTATTTGATATTGACATATACTTTGGCATTTAATAAGCAATGATAAAGTGTTCCACAAACACAAAAGTGGTTATTTAGCTTTCAGCCTGTTTAGTGAAATGATATACCAGCTTATTGCGGCATTGAACCCAATATGTAATTGCATTGCTTTGTTCATGAGTTCTTTTCAGGTATGTTTCTTCTCTCAACTGTTACAGATTCTAAGATTGTTAGGGAAAGGCAGCCCCTCCCATTCAGTCCCTCTCTACTTCTATCCTTCCTAACCTCCTAATGGCAAAGTGAAAAATACCTGTAGTATTTATATTTCTGGAATGGGAAGTGAATTTAACTTTAGGTTATTTAATAATTTTAGTTTGGCGGATCTTCTTTCCGACCAGCTGGGCTTGGTATTTGTGTCTCAGAGCTGCAGATAGCAAGATGTCTTCAGGAAATGCTAAAATTGGGCACCCTGTCCAATTTTAAAAAGCCACGGCCGCTATGCCAGATGGTCAGTTCAAAGATAACAGCCTATCAGACTACAGAGGAAAATGTGTGGTGTTCTTCTTCTATTCTCTTGACTTTACCTTTTTGTGCCCCGTGGAGATCATTGCTTTCAGCGATAGGATGGAAGAATTTAAGAAACCCAACTGCCAAGTGATGGGTGCTTCTGTGGATTCTCACTTCTGTCACGGGGCATGGATCAACACACCCAGGACTGGGACCCATGAACATTCCCTTGGTGTCAGACCCTAAGTGCACCATTGCTCAGGACTATGATGTCTTAAAGGCTGATGAAGGCATCTCATGCAGGGGCCCCTTTATCTTGGATGATAAAGGTATCCTTCGCCAGATCACTGTAAACCACCTTCTTGTTGGCCACTCTGTGGACGAGACTCTGAGACAAGTTCAGGTTTTCCAGTTCACTGACAAACACAGGGAAGTGTGCCCAGCTGGCTGGAAACCTGGCAGTAATGTCATCAAGCCTGATGTCCATAAGAGCAAAGAATATTTCTCTAAGCAGGAGTGAGCACCGGGCCATTATAGGGTCATGGTGGCAGTGTAGAGCCATGAGAACAAAACCTCTCTTTCACTATTGTCACACTTAAAACACAAGATCTCAGACTTAGACCAGATGTGGTCTGGGACAGGGCAGGCCTTTCCTGCCCAGCTTGGGGAGGCCGGCCTTTCTTTTTGTGGAGGAAATGGCCTGAACTTATGAGGCAGGCCAGCTGAGGTGTACAGTACTGGGGCATCACTTTTTATCTTTTGTAGTTTCTATTAAACTTGAACCAAGACAAAAAATAATAATTTTAGTTCATCTGCAATGCACACATTATGTTTTATTAATAATGCTTCTCTTG